AGGAATGAGTCTATACCCTCCGGGAGATCATTCACGTATATCAGAAACAGGATAGGACCGAGTACAGAGCCCTGTGGGACTCCACTGGTGACTTCACGCCAATCTGAGGTCTCACCCCTCACTGTAACTCTTTGCTTCCTATTGCTTAGGTATTCCCTTATCCACTGGAGCACTTTACCAGTTACTCCTGCCTGTCTCTCCAGCTTATGTACCAGCCTCTTATGGGGGACTGTATCAAAGGCTTTCCGACAGTCCAAAAAAATGCAGTCTGCCCAGCCTTCTCTTTCTTGCTAAATCTTTGTCACCTGATCGTAGAATTCTATCAAGCCTGTAAGGCAAGATTTACCCTCCCTGAACCCATGTTGGCGATTGGTCACGAAGTTCCTTCTCTCCAGATGTATTACTAGATTTTTTCTCACGATCTTCTCCATCACCTTGCATGGTATACAAGTCAAGGACACTGGCCTGTAGTTCAGTGCCTCTTGTCTGTCACCCTTTTTGTATATTGGGACCACATTAGCCGCCTTCCATATTTCTGGTAGGTCTCCCGCCTCCAGTGACCTACTAAACACTATGGAGAGTGGCAAGCAAAGTGCCTCTGCACACTTTTTTAATACCCATGGTGATATCCCGTCTGGACCAACAACCTTCCTCACATCCAGATGCAACAGGTGTCTCTTGACCTCATCTCTCGTAATTTTGAACCCTTCCAAGGCCGCCTGGTTTACTGCCCCCTCTTCTAGGGCAGTGACCATGTTCTATTGTGAAGACCTCCTGTGTGTGTGTGTGTGTGTGTGTGTGTGTGTGTGTGTGTGTGTGTGTGTGTGTGTGTGTGTGTGTGTGTGTTTGACGTATCTGATGTGACTTTGTTTGGCTTGTGATAGTGTATTGCATGTTTGTGATATTTGGCAAGTACCAAATTGAGAATACAAGGTGCTGAATGTTAAGTGTTGCAAGGTAAGTCCTTCGTCATATTTCATCAACTTCCTTACGGGCGAAACTCCATTTTCAGTATGATCAACTCTCAACCCTGTCAGCTTCTCTACATCACTCTCACATAAGCCACTTGCGACGGCGTCGCTATATAACGACCAAGTTCTTCTTACGTGGGGCAACGTTTTATCCCGTATGGGTCAAGTGGTTGGATACCTGTTTCTTCACTCTGTCATCATATCCCACATCCTTGTCTTTATATCCTAGATCCTTGTCATCATTTCCCAGATGCTTGTCATCATATCCCTGATCCTTGTCATCATATCCCTGATCCTTGTCATCATATCCCTGATCCTTGTCATCATATCCCTGATCCTTGTCATCATATCCCTGATCCTTGTCATCATATCCCTGATCCTTGTCATCATATCCCTGATCCTTGTCATCATATCCCTGATCCTTGTCATCATATCCCTGATCCTTGTCATCAAATCCCAGATCCTTGTCATCATATCCCAGATCCTTTTTCTTATATCCTATTCAAGTGATGTAGTCACAATGCCTTTCAACTCTCGGTAGTCTAATAAATGATTCCAAGATCTTTTGTGAATCGTCATATCTGCGTCCAAAACTGTGGATGGAGGTAATCAATTCTATTTTCCTTTTTATTGTTTGGTGTGTTTGCGTGCCGTGTTTGGTCGTGTTTGTGCACACATGTTCCCAGTGTGGTTTTGTTTGGCTGTCTATTTACGCATTGGGAATCAAATTTAAAATTATGACATATTAAATAGAATGATAATTTTTACGCACGTGTCAAGACACGAACTGACAGCTTGTTGCAACTGCAGTATGAGGCCAGGACGGAAGGAACGGTGCCATACCCCCATGGAACCATCGGGGATCGAACGCCGGTCTGAATGAGGCATGGGGGGCAATGTTTGCGGGAGTCTGGCTCTGCCAACATCGGCGAAGAGGTTCACTTGAATCCTTATTCTCCATCCAAATCCTCTTCAATAATGTCAACTCCTCATCCCTTCTTCCTTCTTCCCCCTCCCCCCCCCCCGCTTTCATGTTCTTTAGACATTGGAAACTAATCTAGGGATTAAGCTCACAATTAAACAAAATTGTGAAGAAAAACAATCTGAGGCTAAGGAAAATATAATCAAACATAATAACATAATTATCCAACAATTTTGAAAGTAAAAGGCTAATATATATATATATATATATATATATATATATATATATATATATATATATATATATATATATTTTTTTTTTTTTTTTTCATATATATATATATTTTATATATATATTTTATATATATATATATTATATATATATATATTTTTTATATATATTTTATATATATATATATAAAGGCTAATTAATGCATTCTACACTTGACTCAACCAAAACTAAATTAGACACAAGCCTCAAATGATCACCATAATTTTTTTAGCACTGAAGATGCAATCCCATGAAATGTTCCTATGCAACTACTATTCCTATTCCATGAGAATAGGAAGTATTATAACACACAGCCGTCGCCCCGTCATCAGAATACCGTAGCACCCAATAGTCTCTCCAGCTGCTTGTATATATCTACACACACTAAATTATTTATATACTTTACATAGATAAATTAGTACCAACCACAATACCAACAAAATATTTAGAAATGAGTACCTGTAACTCTAAAATCTAGAAAATTATAGTTATTTGAGTTCCGAAAAAAGATGGCGAGCCTGAGAGGTGGAAGGGATGGGTGATGGGTAGGAAGGGAAGAGGGTGGGAAGGGAAGGGAAAGGAAGGGAGGGGACAGGAGGGTAAGATTGTAACTGTCTAACTAGCATGTCTCGAAAACTTTTAGTTTAATTACTTCATTATGGACCTCATACCCATCCTGTGACTGGAAAGGTTATAGCAACCTGATGGGCTGAAGGAGCTGGGACCCTGATGGGTTGAGGGAGCTGGGACCCTGATGGACTGAGGGAGCTGGGACCCTGATGGACTGTGGGAGCTGGGACCCTGATGGGGTGAGGGAGTTGGGACTCTGATGGGCTGAGGGAGCTGGGATCCTGATGGGCTGAGGGAGCTGGGATCCTGATGGGCTGAGGGAGCTAGGATCCTGATGGGCTGAGGGAGCTGGGATCCTGATGGGCTGAGGGAGCTGGGATCCTGATGGGCTGAGGGAGCTGGGATCCTGAGGGAGCTGGGATCCTGAGGGAGCTGGGATCCTGATGGGCTGAGGGAGCTGGGATCCTGAGGGGCTGAGGGAGCTGGGACCCTGATGGGCTGAGGGAGCTGGGACCCTGATGGTCTAAGGTAGCCGCGACCCTGATGGGCAAAGGGAGCTGGGATCCTGATGGGCTGAGGGACCCTTATATTAGTTTTGCTAAACTTTTGTATATATGACTTATATTGTTCTATCACTGACCACCCATCCAGAGGCCAATCAGGCCAATCAGGAGGTTGGCTATGCCATCAGGCTTATTGACACGGGGGGCTTAAGGCTTTCCGTTTTTGATCGATTTCATTTCTGAAAGACCGACTTCCTCTCATTGGCTGACATTAAGTGACTGGCTAACTCTATTTCTGGCGGGCTCGCCTTTCTGATTGGCTGGTTTATTGGCTAGCAACTTGGTTAGCTGCAATAACTATCTGCAAGGTTGTCTGAGTGGCTGGTTTAATGATTGGATTGCTAGCTGACTGATTAGTTTGTTCGTTGAATGTGCCATCAGGTTGATGACTGATGACACTTTCAACCAGTGGGAAAAAATCGTTGCACGAAATAAAATAAAAACTCTAGAAAACAATAAGAGGTTATTGTCACCAGAACACAAATACATAACCCCAACCTGACAGTGTCAGGTTGACATATATGACATATATGACAGTGTCAGACCACAGAGGAAGAATTGAAACAGGAATTTCCTTAAGTACTTTCGTATATTAATACATCTTCAGAAGGAATTCCTTCTGAAGATGTATTAATATATTACAATGACAACTCTCCAACAGTCGACATGAGAATGGTCCAGGACGGACCGAAACGTCGTCGTCCCTTCACCTTTTGTGTGTGGTCTGGTCAACATACTTCAGCCACGTTATTGTGACTCATCGTCTGCAGAACTCTCCAACGTAAGAGGTTCATGGAACAGATAAATAACCGGGTAGAAGTACGTGGCAGAATGTCTAATTGGGTGGGAGAGATGAGAAACAGGAAACAGTAACAGAAAGAGTGGAGTCCCACGAGGTTCAGTGCCGGGACGCTATGGTATTTCTAAAATACATAAATTATATACCTAATGAACTAGACTCTTACTGTGTCACTGTTTACCGAAGATGATACATTGAGAACAATTAGGACGATCGAGGACTGCAAGAACGTCAAGGAAGACCGATACAAGAACGTAATGAAAACTACAGGCGGCCTATTGGCCTATACGAGGCGGGACCCATTTATATCCACTCAAACTTATTCTTATACACATAAGTCAGAGCAAGGTCAGAGAAATGGTTACTGGACTTCGCCCCAGATACGTGTAAGACCATCAGGATGTCAATAGCAGTTAGGTGGCCAGCGGGGGAACACATCATGAAAGGGAAGAACTTCCCAGAGTCACTGACGAAAATGAATCTGGGAGTAGACATAATTTCGAACCTATCTCCAGAGGCACGAATTAAGAGAATCCCATCTCCAGCAGATGCTAAGCTAACATTAGGACAGCCTTTTGAAACCTAGAAACTAATCTCTCAAACGCTACGTACAGTGTATATCCGACTAGTACTAGAGTATGCAGCGCCAGCATAGAGTATTAACCATAAAATACAAAATCTAAGATTGAGAGAGTGGTTTAAAATATGCTACCAAAAAAAAATAAGTGATTGAGTTACTCAGATACAGTAAGGAAGATAAATCTAATGCCACACTGGAAGAAAGGACAGAAGGATATATTTCAAACGCAAACAGACTCTGGGGTATCGATAAGATATGTCATTCAATGATTTAAAGCTAGCTAATAAGGTCAGTCCCAGGAGCTGAAGCTCGGGCCAACAAACAATCAGGCGAGAACGAGCACACACACATTAATATCCTGACAGTCGGTGAGCGCCAGCACCTTTCTTATCGTCCAGATCTGATAATCTGGTCGCCCCTCTCTCACTATCTCTTGGGCGCCCATCACTCTCACCGTCTCCTGGGCGCCCATCACTCTCACCGTCTCCTGGGCGTCCATCACTCTCACCGTCTCCTGGGCGCCCATCACTCTCACCATCTCCTGGGCGTCCATCACTCTCACCAACTCCTGGGCGTCCATCACTCTCACCGTCTCCTGGGCGCCCATCACTCTCACCATCTCCTGGGCGCCCATCACTCTCACCATCTCCTGGGCGCCCATCACTCTCACCATCTCCTGGGCGTCCATCACTCTCACCGTCTCCTGGGCGTCCATCACTCTCACCGTCTCCTGGGCGTCCATCACTCTCACCGTCTCCTGGGAGCCCATCACTCTCACCGTCTCCTGGGCGTCCATCACTCTCACCGTCTCCTGGGCGTCCATCACTCTCACCATCTCCTGGGCGCCCATCACTCTCACCGTCTCCTGGGCGCCCATCACTCTCACCGTCTCCTGGGCGCCCATCACTCTCACCGTCTCCTGGGCGCCCATCACTCTCACCATCTCCTGGGCGCCCATCACTCTCACCATCTCCTGGGCGCCCATCACTCTCACCATCTCCTGGGCGTCCATCACTCTCACCATCTCCTGGGCGTCCATCACTCTCACCATCTCCTGGCGACCATCACGCCGGAGAGGCGCGGTGGCCGCTTTTATCACTGGTAATGAGATGGGTGCGGACACGCAAGTCTCTCTCCCTTAGCTGTAATATTGTCAGTTTTGTGACGTTCCTCGATTTTACAAGGTTAAATAGAGTAGTTGTCCTCCACGAGAGGGAAGGTGGACTGCACAGCTATTCCATTACCAGAAAGCTATTGTAATTGTCCCACACGCAAGAGGTTCCTGTATCAGCTAAATAAACAGGCACAAATACGTGAAACAGAAGCAGACAGAGACCGAGATAGACAAAAAAAACACACATAAAAACCCGCGCCCATTTTTGCTGTGAATGCAAGAATCACCACAAACGAGGAGAATACAAGAGTGCCACTAGCGTGGAGGCGGGTCATGTGACCCAGGGGGAGGGAACACGAGCTGGGCATTACACAACATCCCACGAGGCGTCCAATTAACCAAACTGCTGTTCTGTGTCTGGGTCTTTATCACGAAATTTGCATCCAGCTGATCGTGCGACACTCAGGAAGTGGACATGTTTATTGACGACACGTTAATCTAAATTTTAAAGAAACGAATCTTAAATGGATTTAGGATAATGATTGAGGGTTGACGGAACGAGAAAGACTTGAGATCTTTCAGGATTAGTTTCCGATCTCCTCCCCACCCCCCCGCCCCTACATATATGCTTTGTTGGAATGTTTCTTGGAGACGTCCTCGTGGTTGTCCGTTGCTGCTACTGTCATTTCGTCAGGTTCATGTGTATATATATATGTGAAGTGAGAGTCTTGAGGAGAATACTTGATCTAGGACGCCTTGAGTGCCAATGAACGCAACGACGTTAAGCTAACACTGTCGCTCGCGTCTGTGCAGCTTTGTAGGAAAAATCATGCAGAAAAGAATGACATTTCGGTGTAAGTTTAGTGGATATAAAAGCCAGCAGCAACGTGGATTTGATCACATTTGACAGAACCTAATATGTAGTGTTGTGAGGTCGTCACATCCACGACGACTCGATTCTCCGATGATGTGCGACACGACTTGCCACGACGTGCAGTTGTAGCTCAGTCGATTAAGGCGGCGTCTGGGGATCCTCTCAGACGTAGGTTCGAACCCTCGTCACGGCCCTTGTGGATTTTTTCATTTGATGCATCACGCTATTGTGATTTCTGTGTGTAGTGTAGCGTAGTGTGGAGCGGTTTGTATGGGGTAATGAAGTCTATATAGAGCTGGTGTGTGTGTAAACAGGAGCCAAACTTAGCATCTACAGGAAGCTGCTGGGTGCCTCAAGTATAATGTTTCCTCAGATTGTTTCTACAGGACGTCAGCACTGACAGATTTGTCTTGCCTGTCTCTCCGTCACCGACACGAGACCCCGTGTCCGTCTGTCTCTCCGTCACCGACACGAGACCCCGTGTCCGTCTGTCTCTCCGCCACCGACACGAGACCCCGTGTCCGTCTGTCTCTCCGTCACCGACACGAGACCCCGTGTCCGTCTGTCTCTCCGTCACCGACACGAGACCCGTGTCCGTCTGTCTCTCCGCCACCGACACGAGACCCGTGTCCGTCTGTCTCTCCGTCACCGACACGAGACCCCGTGTCCGTCTGTCTCTCCGTCACCGACACGAGACCCGTGTCCGTCTGTCTCTCCGTCACCGACACGAGACCCGTGTCCGTCTGTCTCTCCGTCACCGACACGAGACGGTCTCTCAGTTGCCAAAAAAATAAATCGCCGATAAAAAACAAAAAGTTAACAGAATGTTTTCTACAAAATGCTCTCATTATCATAATTCAAAATTATGTTGGTCTAAAATTCAGGAAAGAAAACGTGTTTAAACATTTTACATTCCTATGAAATTCCTTTGGCATTTTGGCCTTCACATTCTTTCCAGACGCAACCTTTTATATATTTCAGACCTGATGATAGATAATAATGGAGACCGCTAAGCAGTGCACAGCAGTGAATATTGGAGTTAGCTAAGCAGTGCACAACAGGACCAATTGCACAACAGCAGCAATTTCCACAGGACCCCCTTGAAGATCACAGGCTTTACCCCCCCCCCCCACATCCTCACCTTCCCCATAGCTTTTAAATCAACTTCAGTAAGTTCGAGTGAGCCGCTTGACTGCTGTCGAACGGCAGCTTGATGCTCAGCACGCAACGGGAGCTGCTTCAGAGGATTTCCAGGTGGCAGATATTGAGCTGCAGAGCCTTCACTCCGGGCCAGCGGGTACATCACTAAGCTTACCCGAAGATCAACACACTTGAGTTATTCCAGCCTTCGTTTGTAGATAACTGTAGAAGGTGGGAGGTCTGCCTAGCACCAGGCTTTACAAAGATAACTGTAGAAGGTGGGAGGTCTGCCTAGCACCAGGCTTTACAAAGATAACTGTAGAAGGTGGGAGGTCTGCCTAGCACCAGGCTTTACAAAGATAACTGTAGAAGGTGGGAGGTCTGCCTAGCACCAGGCTTTACAAAGATAACTGTAGAAGGTGGGAGGTCTGCCTAGCACCAGGCTTTACAAAGATAACTGTAGAAGGTGGGAGGTCTGCCTAGCACCAGGCTTTACAAAGATAACTGTGGACGAGGGAGGTCTGCCTAGCACCAGGCTTTACAAAGATAACTGTGGACGAGGGAGGTCTGCCTAGCACCAGGCTTTACAAAGATAACTGTGGACGGGGGAGGTCTGCCTAGCACCAGGCTTTACAAAGATAACTGTAGACGGGAAGGTCTGCCTAGCACCAGGCTTTACAAAGATAACTGTAGACGGGGGAGGTCTGCCTAGCACCAGGCTTTACAAAGATAACTGTGGACGGGGAAGGTCTGCCTAGCACCAGGCTTTACAAAGATAACTGTAGACGGGGAAGGTCTGCCTAGCACCAGGCTTTACAAAGATAACTGTAGACGGGGGAGGTCTGCCTAGCACCAGGCTTTACAAAGATAACTGTAGACGGGGGAGGTCTGCCTAGCACCAGGCTTTACAAAGATAACTGTGGACGGGGAAGGTCTGCCTAGCACCAGGCTTTACAAAGATAACTGTGGACGGGGAAGGTCTGCCTAGCACCAGGCTTTACAAAGATAACTCAAAAAAATGTATTTGATATCGACCACTATATATATATCTCGTATTTTGCTATAGGGATTTGCATAGCAGTGTTAGCAATTATTATAAGGCGGAGTAAGAGAGAGAGAGAGAGAGAGAGACGAATGACGAAACATGTATAAATGCAACGCTCGGGAAGTATGTAGATCGCTGTAATGCCTAAATTTGTTCAGGAGAGGAAAATGTCATATAGGAAACAACGCTCTGGTATTTCAACCCAGGAATATTTAAGTCCTCACTAGACGAAATAAAATGCTACGACCTGTTTTGTCCAGATTTCAACGTTAGAGGCACAGCGCGTCACAGATGGAATGAAAAAAAAAAAATAAACAGAAAAACGGCTTTGCAGGAAACCCTAAAAAAACTGTTTGACCCGGAAGACAAAATACACAAAGAGTGGAAAAGGTAGAATAAGTACACCTCCCCCCCCCTCCACCCCCTCATTCCACCACCCAACCAACCAGTCACATATACTCCACAACAACAGCTGTCTCTCCACAGTTACAGCCCCGCTCCTGTGCCAGGTAAGTCCACTACGGGCTCACCATAGCCCGTGCTACTTGGAACTTTTTGTTTCCAGTAGCTGTATCTTAAACAACAACAAACTGCAACTACGATATGCATCAACTAGTGTAGCGGCCAGGCCGTTTATCCAATTTCATTTCCTTGACTGGCAGAGTATAAGCAATTAATTAATTATTAAGCGTTACCTGGGAAACAGCACTGAAACTCTTAAATAAATACAGAGGCATTAAGCGAAGAAACATATACAATGTTTTCTAATGAAACGTTTTTTTGATTTTATTACGTTGACGGCTTTTTATTTTTCTTCGTTCAGGAAAAAATAAAAAACAACTCATACCAAAATGAAGAAAAAAAATCTACCAAAGAAATATCATAAATATGAGAAAGAAACTGAAAAAAAAATTGTAAAAAGAGGAACTTAAACCCCCGAAAGGAAAACGAAATTTTCCGATTTTCTGAAACAAAATCAATCTATATAAAGAATGCACAATCAGGAAAATAAAACACAGTGCAAGTGGGAGGAAAACGAGAACATTCACTTAGACATATTTTACTGTAACGACGGAAGTCTTCAAAGCACTGTACTATATCAAATGGAATATTGTTCGTTCCTCACATACCCTGCCAAGGCCCGCGCGAGACTGTTCATCTCTTAAGAGATCCTTTAAAACCCGCAAAAAAGAATTTATGAAGCACTTAAACCACCTTGGATTAAATAGATCATTATTTACATTGACTTACGTGACATTGTCATTGTTACTTCCTCATCACAATCGACTTGAGAATGGTCCAGGACGGACCGAAACGTCGTCGTCCCTTTACCTTCTAGTGTGTGGTCTGGTCATCATACTTTGGCCACGTTATTGTGACTCATCGCCTGCACATTGTCACTCTGCGTCATGACCCATCCTGAATAGACTGTCATGCCCACTGAACCATGACATGACCGTTCAACTATTTATATTATCAATATTGTAGAAACCTTAAAATCAGTTATATTCCAATTTACTACAACAACTAAATTCAGGTCTTTTTTTTTGAAAATTTGTGTTTAACAAAAATTGTGTTGCGGAAAACCTCAAAAACATTATGAATATGCTAATTAGTTAATTAACATAATGTGTCAAAAATAATTAGTCTATGCCGGCCATTGTGATATTTAATATTTTTCTGGCTTAAGAACGTGGGAATTAAAGCTGGTTTGTTTTGTTCAGTAAAACGCCTGCAATTATCAGCTACCGGGGAAATGAAGCAAAAATTATGTTAAATAGCGTTTCATACTTAATTATTTTTATTGAACTT